GGAACATGGGATTGAATGAGAAGTGTGCGTGCAGTTTCAATGAGATGCCTATTCTTTCTCTCAGCTACCCTATTCCGTTGAGGAGTATACGGACAAGATGTCTGAGGGATAATTCCTTGAGAAGGCATAAACTGCTGAAACTGAGAGGATAAATATTCTAAGGAATTATCACTACGAAAAGTGAAAAGTGCGAATAGAAACACCAAACTGAGTTTAATTTCAGCACAAAAACTTTGGAATATATAGAACAAGAACGATGTAGGAAAATTCAAGTACATCTTGAGTAATCATCAACGAAACTAGCAAAATAACGAAATCCTAAGGTTGAACTGACTCTATTAGACTGAACTAAAGAAAAAATAGACTCTGCACGATTCTCAACACTATGTGAAAATGTAGCTTGAATATGTTTCCCAAGTTGACACGACTCACGAACTAATTTAGATAAGCTAGTCAAACTAGGCACCATTTTCTGAAGCTTGGATAAACTTGGATGTCCTAAACATCTGTGAATTAGGTCTGGAGGATCTGTAGCTGGACATACTGTAGAGGGATTGCGTGAGTTAAAGTAATAAGGGCCTTGTGATTCACGCCCTGTGCCAATCGACTTTCCCATGTAGCTTTCCTGCATAATAAAAGAATCATCAATAAAATATATACCACAATGAAGGGCATGAGTCAAACAACTAACAGATGTGAGATTAAAAGGACAATTAGGGACATAAAAAATAGAATTTAAAGTGACAGAGGACAGGGGATTAGCTTGTCCAACTCCTTTTGCTTTTGTTTGGACTCTGTTGGCTAGAGTAACATTGGGAAGAGATTGTGAATAAACAATATTGACAAAGTGACCTATTACTAGAAATATGATCAGAGGCGCCTGAGTCCATGACCCATGGTCCAAGAGTAGTACATTGGAAAACACAAGCAAAGGAATTACCCACCGCAGAAGTATCAGTCTTAGTGACAGAGTCTACTTATGAAGGTATCTGCTTAGTTGCTTGATACTGAAGGAACTCATTATACTCCCCTTCAGATAAAGAAAACCCCTGGTTACCTGCAGTCTCAGTCTGAGCAATATGAGCATTTCTAGATGGTCGACCATGCAAAGAGTAACACACCTCACGAGTGTGCCTAAGCGTGTTACAATAAGAACACTTTGGTCTAGTTCTTCAAAAATAACCTCCTCCTCGTCCATTCTCCATAGTTTGAGGTGCTCGATTTTCCACTAGGATGCGAGAGCAGAGGAGTTAGCTATCTGTGATGAGATCACTGTATGACTGGGTGTTGCAGCAGGGCGAACTAATCGAGAGAATAATTCATCAACTGTGGGGACAGCCGGACTTGCCAAAATTTGGTCGCGTAATGAATCAAGGTCATTAGGAAGTCCAGCGAGGGTAAGAACTAGAAACATCTTCTGTCATTGCTCTTGTTGCTTTTCAACACTAGTAGAAACTGGCATCAACTTCTCAAATTTCTCCACGACCACCCGTACTTGTCTCAAGTAAGTAGACATATCTAATTCTTATTTCTTTAAATTTGTCATCCGCGATATTACATCATAGAAACGAGATATGTCATTAGTGTATAAAGTGCGAGCCTTTTCCCAAACTATATAACATGTCTGGAATGGACGAAACAAGAGTATCAACTTGGAATCAATAGATTGCCATATGATACTATATAATTGAGCAACGATCTTCTTCCAAAGTGCTTTGGCCTTTTCATCTCCTTCGCTAGACTTTTTGATTAAATGATCTTGAACACCTTGAGCTTTATACCACAACTTGACACACGAAGCCAAGCTAAGTAGTTCGAATTTCCCATTAAAGGTTCCGAGGTGATTATAACACTGGAACTTTTAGGGCCCGTGTTTTTAGACCCAAAAACATCAAATTCCAAAGACATCATTGGATTGAAGAGCGGCCTTGCAAAGTTATCATCAAATAACAGAAAGAATCAAATGTAACTCGCTGAAACAGACAAAGGAAACACTGTAGTTGCTGGAAAAATTACTGCAGCTGCTAGAAGATCAATGTAGTTGCAGGAAAAATCTCAAAGTGCTCGGGATAAAAAGAAAACAATATGGGTAGGGTCAGAATTACTAGACAAGACAATTGTCCGACCAAAATGAGGATCCCAAGTTGCATGAGCAATAGGTCTTACATGTAAAGGGTCCGGTACCCACGACTCAAATTTTTCTTGCCAAGCTACGATCCCGATTTATGGATCTCTCGGTTCGAGAAATCAAAATAAGAGGCTCGGACGATTTTTTCGGGCTCTTTTTCCAATTCGATAAATATTGGTTGATTGTATATTTCATTATTGTTCTATGATTTAGAAAATTCTTTTTTGCCCTGGCATAGGAGTAAATGGAAGAAAAATGGTTGATATTGGTACAATCTGATATTTTTTCAAAAATGGCCGGAACCAGAGTCACGCGCCGGCGTGTGGGTCTGACGCGGAGCCGGCGTTAGAGCTTCTTCAGGCGCGTGGCTAAGGTTGTTCCGGTGTGGTTTTTCAGGGTTTGGTCGCTTGTGAATTCTGCACGTGCTGGTGGTGTTACTTTTCAATAAAAAACCCACCGGAGAAGAGGTCAAGCAAAAAAACAACTTGAAATTCACCAGAAGAAAGGCACGGTGACTGTTCCGGACTTGCTGGTTACCGCAGAACGGAGATTTCTCACTAGTTGCTCTGGTACCATGTGAGGAAGCATGGAAGAAAATATATTATTGATGTACGTTAAGTGTTTTATAATAGCCCTACTTATATACAATATTTACATATATCTAAAGCCTACCTTCAGCACAAAAGGCAGAAAAGTGAGTAAACACTTCAGAGAGACTCTTCATAAAGTAAATCCAAGTCATTCGGGAAAAAACGTCTACAAAAGTGACAAAATACTTATGTCCAGTTTTAGAAACAACAGGACATGGTCCCCAAACATCAGAATGAACTAACTCAAAAGATGACTCAGCTCGCTTGTTAACCCTTGGGCCTAACGAGATGCGATGATGTTTTGCAAATCGACATGACTCACAATCCAATGAAGAAATATTCTGAAACTGAGGACAGAGCTTCTTCAACAAAGGTAAAGAGGGATGCCCCAATCGACGATGTGCTTCAAAAGGAGACACGATACTAGAGCATGCAATAGACTGTGGCTCCCATTCATCAAGGATATAGAGATCACCAGATAAATACCCTTTACCAATAATTTGCTTCGTCGTAAGATCAAGAAACAAACAATGATTGGGAAAGAACGCTACACAACAATTAAAGGTCTCTGGTGATTTTACTAACAGAAATCAAATTAAAGGCCAAGTTTGGTAGACTTAATACAGATGACAGGGTAATAGAGGAAGTCGGTTTAACAGTCCCAGATCCAACACTGGTACATGTTGTTCCATCAGCTACAGTAACTGAAGAGGGTGCTTTGTGTGATCGAAAGCTAGAAAAAATATTTGGATTACCCGTCATGTGATTTGTGGCACCTGAGTCAATCACCCATTTATTTGAAGAGGTGATAAGACATGTCTTATCTGGCCCGGCAAAAGCAGTAACTGAAGAAGATTCCTTAATTGATTTATGATATTGAAGGAACTCAAGAAACTCATCTGAAACTAGGATTGTTGGACTAGAAGTTGTATCACTATTTCCTCCTTGCTTACTATTTATGGTCATCTTTCCAAAAATCCCCAAAGTATCAATATAAATGTCAGAAAAGCCAATAAAGCTCAAAAGTTCTCCACCAGAATAACACTATCCAACGAAACAGCGAAGGAAAGACACCCAATAAAACAAAGAAACGGAACTCCAATAGAGCCAATCTAATGGGTAATAACCAATCAAAAGTCCGGCCAATAGTGTAAGAATCAGTAACCAAGAATCACTAACCAACAGATTAATCTCAAAGCTATAAAAAAAAAAGGCCAAAGTTCTGCACACAAAGTTGGTTCACTACTAAGGATCAGGCAATCACAGAAGGAAACAAAATTTGAACACAACAGAGAAAAGGTGACAAAACCTTGACACTATGAACCGAACCTGGGACGGTCAGAGATTTTCCCAGCCGAGGTTTCCTGAACAAACAAACACCATAAGTTGGACGAAAATGTAAAGTCGATGCCGGAGAGATGGTTAAACTTCAAATTCCAAACCCTTCAAAAGTATTCTGACCCTAACTGACAGTTTCGGTAAGTTCTCTATCTAACTCCGGTAAAGCCGGAGAACCTGCTCTGATACCATGTGAACGAAATAGAAAGAATAACTTGTGTTCTCATTCCAAGAGGTGAGCAATATAAATACATGTACATCAGATGCTAACTAAGGAAAGAAATAAAAGAGATTCCTACAAATCTGCTATTTATGTACACTACTAAGAAAGAGTCTACATTCATTCTATAATAAGTGTCTAGATTCATCCTATAATAAGTGTCTAGATTCATTCTATAACATATACCAATGTGGGACACTCTACATGAACTAATTCTAACAAGAACCTTGCAATCCGTGCATACCCTTCCATCACATTTTTCCAGAAGTAAGCAAGCAATCCGTGTACTAAGTTTTCTTCCTTTCATTTTTAGCTTCATAGTACATCTCCTTAGAGCTGTGCAAAACTTGCGTTGTGTTTCAGGCTTAGCGTCATCACATAAATAACTTTTCCGTCTAAATTGTGCACCTGGTATATTGCAAGTTGTTTAGTTGTAGCAGGGCTCATCAAACTTTTAGGATGGTTTCCTAATTGAATGACTATTTATTTTCATTGTAATAATATCACATAATGAAGTCCTCAATGTAAACAATTTTGCACTCTCATATAATCTAAATAGTGTAATCTCCAGGTAGGAATTAACTGTAGTGCTATATTTTAATAGGTTAAAGTGGCGCCGTGGATAATAACATCTGTTCTCTATTTTCAACATTCTGCTTTAGTGAACTAACACAATTTCTGGTACTTCCAAAATTAAACTTACTGATGTTCGTGAGATGTGAAGGAATGTCCCAAGGATAATAGAAGCATTAAGTGTTGATGGATCAAGTGGACAACAAATCGGGTCTTCGACTTTTGACCCATCAGCAGGTTTGCATCTGCTTTGCCTTCTCTCTCTCGCTCTCTCTCTCTCTCTCTCTCTCACACACACACACACAAAATTAAATGATACTATATATCTGATTTTTTCTCAACTTTTGTTCAGCTGAAAAATCTTGGGTTTCACCTACAGAGAGATATGCTGTTGTTCCAAATGAAAATGTAAGCTCACCATTCAAGCAAGCTTTATTTTGTTGAATGGTCTAAAATAGCATCAGCGTTGTCCCATTAAAAATTATCCATTTGTGCAATGGGCACATCAAAATTTATTTCAGGTGGTGGTTGGTTAGAGTATGATCGGTTAAGTTTGTACCCTGGATATATGGTCGATGAAACTGCATAACTATGCATATTTTGCTGGTTCGTAAAATGATTTCCCAGGTTATGCCATTTTTAGTGAAATCACTTGATTCCAATTAGGAGAAATGACCAAAAAGATATTTGTATTTTGACTTTCAAGTTACATGTCTTCCCGTCTTATCAGCGGATAACTCAAAGTTAACTACCAGACGTCAGATATCCTTCTCTTCGAAAACTTTAAAGGTGACATGAAATGATCCGAGATATTATTTTCTACCTGCAGGTGCCCAAGCAAACAGTGACTTCAGTAAAAGGGAACGGAAACGACGTAAATGTGCCTGAAAATGATGTGAAAAGGATACGGCTATGAGATTTTTAGTGTATGCATGTAACAGTTTCACGTTTGCTGGTGGACTTTCTGCACTGATATCTGCTTTTCAAATAATAGTATACCTCTATTTAAGTCGCTAGGAAACGGGCTATGCAGATCTGCATTTCTTTTTATGATTTTCTACATGTCTTCGGGTGTGATTACTGGTTTTAGAACAAGTAAAATTGAAAGTGCTATATATTCTTGCACGAAGACACATGAAATGAAGTTTTGATCACCAATTGTGTTTGATACTCGAGCATAATAGATTGTACAACGAAGAGGAACTCTCTATGATATCTCAGAAAATTGTTGGGGTCAAATGGACCCGTAAGTATACATGGTCAACAAGTAATAATAATGATAAAGTAAAGTATTGTTTCCATGAGAATTTGTAATTAACAATCAATTAAATTATGAATTATCTATTTAAGTGATTCCTTAAGTTTGGTTACTAACTAGAACTATTGCAAAAATTATAAAGCAATTAAATATACTAGAGATTGAATGAAACACGTAGGCAACTTAGTATAAAATTAATAGGAGAAAACTTTCCAAGGTTAAAGGTTAGCTAGCAATCTTGTTGAGTTGTTTAAATTATCTAATTGATTTGTTTTGTTTGTTAATTCAACAACAACAACAACAATAACTACCCAGTAAAATCCTACCAGGTGGGGTCTGGGGAGGGTAATGTGTACGCAGACCTTACCCCTACCCAATAGGGCAGAGAGGCTGTTTCCGATAGACCCTCGGCTCAGAGATTATTTGTTAATTCACAAGGTTAATATTACTCGTAAGAATTCAAATCCTTACTTGCCTATTCAAGTTAATCTTAGCATATAACAAGAACGTGTTTATTATCATGCATAATAACCAAGCGAGATGATAAGTATATGTCTATTCTAATTGTGAATTTGTTCCTTAATGTCCAGGTTCAAAAACTCGTTTTTTTTTAATCCTATGTGATCACGCCCAACTATGCCTTATAAAAAGGACTAAGCGGTCTTTGCAAATATAATCCGGTTTACAAGCCCGTGGTCGAATCCCACAGAGAACTAAGGCTTAGTTACAGTTGTTATCACCAAGAATACAAGCTTGAACAATTCCTAACTTATAGATATTAAGATTCTTGTGTTTAACTAACTAACTAACTAATTAAAATAATAAATTAACACTAAAGATACTATAGATTGGAGAAAAGATTAAGGAGGTCTAGAGTTATGATTTCTCCAATTGTCGGAATCCTTCCCGCTATGTCTTCTATAATTTCGCCTAAGAATACCGATCATGAGCGCTCTGCGTGTTGCAATTCTCTCCCGAGTAATTATGACAATTTACTAGACATACTCTCCCGAGTTACGCTAGCTGGCTTTAATTACAGCTCACTTAGATCGCACCCAAGGTTTCGTTATCCCTAATCCCACCTTTAAACCCTTGGTTATTGATTCCTCACATACGTCGGGAGTGATATTGTTCAACAACTACCTAAATATGCACTCTCTCCCGAGTAATACATACTAAATAGGCACAGCTACTTGAGGACCCTTCAATCAACCACAAGAATAATATAGTTGAACAAATAGAGAAAATACTACGGCTCAATTATATAAAAATATAATAAGAATTTATCCTACAAAAGGTTCCATCAAAACCCTAGATAACAAATTAGCTATTCATAATAGTATGTAAAACTACAATACTAAAAATCATAACCAACAATGAAAAATAGGAAGAGGAAGGAAAAACTCGTTGAAGAATTCTCCGCCTTGCTCCCAGTGTGTTCTTGACTCCTTAGGTCGAATCCCCGGTCTCCATAGCCTCCTTAGGTCTAAATTATGTCAAAAGTGAATCCAACCTCTCAAAATACCGTTTTTTCATGTATCTATACCAAGTAGGGTCGGGCCCAAGCTATTATACCTACTCCTACGTGAAAAAGGACAATTTTTTCACGTCTGGACGCCGCGGCCGCGGTAAAACCGCGGTACGACCGCGGTATATGGCAGGTATATTGCCTCAGCCCGCTTCAGGTCCGCGGTCGCGGTTTCGACCGCGTTTTTCACCCTGTTCTGCTTGGAATTTGGAAAAACGTAAAACTTGAAAGTTGTAGCCCTTTGGGGTAGCTTTCCAACCATATACTGTGGAGCCCAAATGGACTTCTGAGTGAAAAGTTATGTGCATTTTACTAGACAGTGCGCAATATGCCTACTCGATTCTTCGTTTTGTTGCTCTATCATCCGTTGATCCCCGAATACGATCCCGGCTTAATTCCTCGGGCTTTTACTCAGATTTCAAAGCTTTAAATCGCTTGAATTCATTCCATAACATCTATATAGCTCGAAATCACTCCTACAAGGCATAAAACACACCGCTAGTGCAAAACACTAGCGTTTAAAGCGCAAACTCAACTAAAGTGCAGTAAATTAGAGTGTAATAACCGACTAAAATACGTAATTATAGCCTATCATCAACACCCCACACTTAAATCATTGCTCGTCCTCGAGCAATCAAACTACACTTTGTTATAGACACGACCTTTTTAAACAATTCTCCTAACTCATCACACCAAGAGTATTTAAAATAGACTAAGCACAAAAGCATAACATCTTCACCTCAGGATTTGACTCACAAGTACCACGCATAATTCACAACTCACCCACTTACTCTAACATAGAGGTCACTGACATTACCTTTCCTTCATGAATCAAGTGCCCTCACACAACAAAAGAGAGTAGTTCCACACAATAAAATTTAAGAACACTTAGGAACTCAAGATAGAAAAAATTCACTCACTCTCAGAAATAACATTCATATGCCACAAAAGATGCACCATAAGCTTTCCCGTAGTGTACTACTCCACTAATCGAGCTCATTCAATCTAGGATCAATTAGGACTTTATTTGGTTGTAATGTAGGCTTCGGGACGGGTAGGATACATTTAGATATAAGAGTGACTACACCTCCCTAAGCAATTTAATACATATACTTTAACATTCAAACCCAATACTTATGTCAAACCAAAACTCCACCTTCACATCAATGTATATTACCCCATTCTTCTTTAAGCACACTTACAATTACATCAAGAGTCACCACTTATCAAGGATTTTTTTTTCACAACAATACAACTTTTTTTTCCTTTTTTTCTTTTTTTTTCCCAATTCAAGTGGCTCTTACTTTTTTCAAAACAATGCACCTTTCTCCTTATTTCATTAATTCCACTCAAAAGCCAAACCAACCACCCCACACTTTAACTTTTACACAGTTCATAATAATTCAAGTGCTCATGAGAGGTTAAAAGGTTCAAATAGATGATTAATTCAAACAAATGGGTAAGGCTTGTAATGTGGTTGCCAAAGAAACAAGATTACAGGCTCAAAGGGGTTAACTACGACACATAACAATTAGGTGGGTAAAATATACATATCTGGCTCAACAAAGAAACGCCTATATCACTTCCAAGACTGAACAAAACTACTATTTCTCTTTGCAAACACAAGGGCAAGTTCTAGGCATCAAATACAATGCACAGAATATAACAAATCCTTACACACACATGGCACATAACTCACTCAAGATTGGTTTCATCAAGACACTCTAGTCAAAGCAGTTAAGCAAGTTTAAGATCATAAAATTTAAGGTACTTATACAAGAGTCAAAAACTGAGCCTAAGCGTCACAACCAAAGTACTCACTATTCTCAAGGCATAACAAAGTCAAGAGATATTGCTTCAATTCAAAACACAACACAATGGCTCCTACTCCCAAAAAAAAAAAAAAACTAACTACACCCAGTTCAAACAAAACCCTTGGAAAAGAACCACAGCACAAAGAAAAACCAAGGGGTAATTGCTACACTACCTAACAAAAGAAAATCTTTTTTTTTGTCTTTTATTTCTTTAGACTTAATCCCTCAAGAAAATTGTCTAATAGATCCATCGTCGGGAAAAGTCCAATCTTTAAAAAAAATATTATTTAATTAAACTAACACAGCTAAAATGGCATGAAAAGTCACCCAGACAATCTCCTCACCCCACACTTAAAATTGTGCATTGTCCCCAATGCACATCATAACTATAAGAGGGTAAGAGAAACTCCCTAGCAGGCCAAAGGCCGAAGCACTAGCATCTCATGGGGTGTACTCAGACTTCTCCCAGGCCTGGTCCTTCGTGCGGGTACCTCACACTTAGTTCCAACCATACCATCTGGTTTGTTGTTGCATCCTTCTAATGGCTTTGCGTTCCATGCTCCTAAAAATCAAAAATCGACACTACAAGAATAATACAATAAAAAATAAATAAAATAAACTAAATTAAAAAAAATAAAATAAAGCTGGGTTGCCTCCCAACAAGCGCTTGATTTAACGTCGCGGCACGACGTGAATCGCTTTTTGCCTCCATCTCGAGCTTATGAATTGAACCCCAAGTTTTGATTCAAGCTTATAATTATGGTCATGGGGCGGTGGAACGAATCTAACTGGCCCAAGGAAATAATGTAGTATTCTGCACTCCTTGGCCTTTGTATGAGGTATGTAATCCTGACTTTCTGGCAAGAAGAATTCCAGAATATATGCACCTTGTTCCACATTCCTTGACTCTTCAATTGGCTCGGATGACTCTATTTCCATATCATCATCCAAACATAATGTGGAAAAATGCTTGGAGTGTGGACCAATGCACTCAAACACATGAACTTCAGGACTTTCAACATCCTCAACATCATTCACACTAGAGTCAACTAAATTTGTATCTTCAATGTCCCTGGTTGACTCTAGTATTACTTCTTCAACATCGGCATCCTCAAATTCTAGCTGGATAGATTGTTGGTGTTCTACTATGACCTCCTCCTCTAGCTCATCCTCGTATTTTTTTAAATCCTCCAGTATAATGGCAATTTCTGCAGCCAATTCATACTCATATTGGCTACTAGCCACAATGTCAACTTGTTGCGCTTTACAAGGTTCAATTAATTTATTCGCTTGAGCCTCCAAGTTGTGAATAGTTGCCCCTTGCCTTTGTGACCGCAGTTGTATCTCATCAAATTGTTCCATAAGGCACTTTAGCATATCCTCGATCTCTTTCAGGTCCTCATACCTGGGTTCTTTGTTCCTATTAACTTCACAAGAAAAAGAAGAACCATCAAAGTAAGGGGTTAGGGGAAGATAAGAAATATAAGCACAACCATGAAAGTGACCATCTTGACCACCACACATATCACACACATTCCACATATAAGATTGAGTTGGTGCACAAAACT